TCCAGATAATAAAATGTCATTATGACATGATGTCATTCATAATGAGGAGTTATAAATAATTATGCTTTATTTATATCGGAAAAGATATAAAACGACAAATAGAAGCTGCTGACTCAACGCACTCAGCAAGTTTCCAGCGATAGGACGGCGACCTGCACAGAATTGAGTCTGGACCAGACAATCTAGTGATCGATATTATGAGCAACGATCCACGCTGGCAGGTTAAGAGGACACGCCATCAAACATGCCTCTTATGACCAACAGTGGTTGCTGGAGACGAACAGTAATCCGAGGTGTGTTATTATGAAGTATTTCATAAAGAAAACTCATGTGTCTTTTCCCGCATGCTGGGAATACTCGGTGGTTTTCCAATTTGCAGTGTTGATATAAAAGTAATTACCAAGCGCTGCTTAACCCACAACGACACATACATTATCGATGAAATTTGAATTCAGCAATATGATCGCTTTTGTCCAGTTGGCTTTCGTCGAGTCTGAACCAGCAACCAGTTACTGAAGGCATACACCGCCTGGACACGAAAGTACATAGTCTTGTCAAAGATCCTGGATTATGTATACCAATGGTTGAAAGCATGAGCAACGACCATCGGCCTTCGATGACACGACCAGTTAGGTCACTCATTGTGACCAGCCGACTCATACTTGACGGCTATTAAGACAAGCATTGGATGCTGACGTATTCTACCCAGACACTACAAACGTTCCGCTTGCAGAGTGTAATGGGTATCAACTGTACCATCTGTTGACATGTCAGGTCAGTTGATGCAGTGTTGGATCATGGGTATTTTGGGTAGCCAGTCCCGGCACAAAGTAAGAAGTACATCAAACCTGCAAGTGGTCGGACAGAGACGTGGTCGTCGAGTAATGTGTACAAGTGTACAAACAATAAATTATTTCTTACATTATTTACTTCAACCTTTCTACTCCGCTTATAGGTTATACAATTGTCATTGCTAAGGTGTCACTTAGAACGGTCAGTAGTTTAGTTATATCACATCATGTTTGCTTCAAGTGGGATTTGTTTGTTTGTTGTTTAACGCCGCACTCAGCAATATTCCACCTTTATGACGGCGGTCTGTAAATAATCGACTCTGGACCAGACAATCCAGTAATTGACAACATGAGCATCGATCCACGCAATTGGGATCGATGACATGTATCAACCAAGACAGCGTACCTGATGTTTCTGGATAACCGCATCCGTTGTCATTCAAGATGTATGTGTTATTGACGTTCAGTACAGTAAATATCCGAATTAACGCACCATGTGTCAGTCAATATGTATTATATGGACGTTCAACACAGTAATCATCCGAATTAACGCACCATGTGTCAGTCAATATGTATTATATGGACGTTCAACACAGTAATCATCCGCATTAACGCACCATGTGTCAGTCAATATGTATTATATGGACATTCAACACAGTAATCATCCGAATTAACGCACCATGTGTCAGTCAATATGTATTATATGGACATTCAACACAGTGATCATCCGAATCAACGCACCATGTGTCAGTCAATATGTATTATATGGACGTTCAACACAGTAATCATCCGAATCAACGCACCATGTGTCAGTCAATATGTATTATATGGACGTTCAACACAGTAATCATCCGAATCAACGCACCATGTGTCAGTCAATATGTATTATATGGACATTCAACACAGTAATCATCCGAATCAACGCACCATGTGCCAGTCAATAATGTATTATATGGACATTCAACACAGTAATCATCCGAATCAACGCACCATGTGTCAGTCAATATGTATTATATGGACATTCAACACAGTAATCATCCGAATTAACGCACCGTGTGTCAGTCAAGATGTATTATATGGACGTTCAACACAGTAATCATCCGAATTAACGCACCATGTGTCAGTCAATATGTATTATATGGACATTCAACACAGTAATCATCCGAATAAACGCACCATGTGTCAGTCAATATGTATTATATGGACATTCAACACATTAATCATCCGAATCAACGCACCCTGTGTCAGTCAATATGTATTATATGGACGTTCAACACAGTAATCATCCGAATCAACGCACCATGTGTCAGTCAATATGTATTATATGGACATTCAACACAGTAATCATCCGAATCAACGCACCATGTGTCAGTCAATATGTATCATACGGACGTTCAACACAGTAATCATCCGATTTAACGCACCATGTGTCAGTCAATATGTATTATATGGATATTCAACACAGTAATCATCCGAATTAACGCACCATGTGTCAGTCAATATGTATTATATGGACGTTCAACACAGTAATCATCCGAATTAACGCACCATGTGTCAGTCAGTATGTATTATATGGACATTCAACACAGTAATCATCCGAATCAACGCACCATGTGTCAGTCAATATGTATCATACGGACGTTCAACACAGTAATCATCCGATTTAACGCACCATGTGTCAGTCAATATGTATTATATGGACATTCAACACAGTAATCATCCGAATTAACGCACCATGTGTCAGTCAAGATGTATTGATATAGACGTTCAACACAGTGATCCGAATTAACGCACCCTGTGTAATTAAAGATGTATTTATATGGGGCTTCAAAACATTAATTGTTCAAATTAACGCACCCTGTGTCAGTCAATATGTATTATATGGACATTCAACACAGTAATCATCCGAATCAACGCACCATGTGTCAGTCAATATGTATTATATGGACATTCAACACAGTAATCATCCGAATTAACGCACCATGTGTCAGTCAATATGTATTGATATGGACGTTCCACACAGTGATCCGAATTAAAGGAACCTGTGTAATTAAAGATGTATTTATATGGGGCTTCAATACATTAATTGTTAAAATTAACGCACCCTGTGTCAGTCAAGGTGTACTTGTTATTGACGTTCAACACAGTAATCATCCGAACTAACCCACCCTGTGTCAGTCAAGATGTATTTCCATCGACATTCCACACAGTAATAATCCGAATTAACGCATCCTGTGTCCGTCAAGATGTATTTATATGGAAATTCAACACGGTAACCGTCCGTAAAATGGGCGCTTTGGAGTAACGGCTTGCCCTGTATGTAAAGTATATATGCTCTCGAGAAAGTAAGAAACGCATTTTCCAACTTTACTCTATGCAATCTTTGGCCAAGCCAACACTTTATTGGAACCCATCATTCTCATTGTCATTGTTTCAAGAATTATATCATACAATAATATCAAGGTAAAATAAAAGAAACAGATCAGTACTGTTTACATTGCAATGCTCCAGCAATATCACGGTCTTTAACAACAAGAAGCAGCATCCATATAAAATGAAACCCCCTCACTCAGTGAACCCTGCTGTACTGACAGTTGGGTTGGGGGTGTTTTAGAATGATGAATGAGGCGTCCCAACAGACACTCGATTTGTTAACCCCGACGATTTAACTTTGATTTGAATCAGTTCACTGTTGGCCTGTAGCCGACAGAAAGAACGAGTGCGTGCGAGCGTGCGTGCGTGCGTGCGTGCGTGCGTGCGTGAGTGTGGTTTTACGCCCCTTTTAACAATATTCCAGCAATATCACGGCGGGGGACACCAGACATAGGCTTCACACAATGTACCCATGTGGGGAATCGAACCAGGGCCTTCGGCGTGATGAGCGAACACTTTAACCACGAGGCTGCCCTAGACTAAGATTATAACATTGTGACAGTTTTCCATAAACGTTTTCAGGAAGTGAATGCTTTTATTCAGTGAATACAATTATCTGGTGGACAAGCTATAGTGAGTGCACAACGATATGTTTTTACATAAGTTCTTCAAAGCTCGAGTTGTCAGTTCTGGGACACAAAGAAAATAAAGTTTCTTTTAACTTTAAATGGGCTTTACTCTTATTCAAACACTTTTGCATAAGCTTTTATTTCCAAACAGTAAAACCCAAAAACACATGCAATGAAAAGAAAGGTCCAGAAGTATCCTATTTGAAGGGAATCTAATCGTTCATGTAGTAGGTGTCATCAAAGGAAATTATGTACATATAAAAATGCTCATTTCAGATGAGTACCATGCATTGAAAACTCTAACTCTGTCATAAACTGATAGCTACTTCGTATGTACGCATGTGATCTCTTTGTTGAAGAATTTGCGAATTTTAGGAGTTTACATGCGTCCTGTGGATAGTTTGTTGTCACTCTGAATCTTTACGCATAGATCTAAATATGAAAGAGATGAGGCGGTTTCTCTGGTCTCTCTTGTTTGTAGCTCAGGTCAGTAAATCAGTGGAAGGGAATTGGTCAGTTGACCAACGCTATCAGATCATTGATATAGCAATGCCTGAAGTCAAACTTCTGGACCAATTTCCCCTGATTTTAATTCTGCCAAATCCTTCTGACTCATCGATTAAGAAACAAATAAGCAGGGACGGGTGCCCATTGGGATGCCTACGTGTGGCCTAAGTCAAATAATTTGAGAATTCCAGGACTTAACATGAGGAAAATATCTATAAAAGCCTTACGACAATACGTTAAAGTTAAACTCAACAAGAAGGCAAACATGGATGTCACCCATTCACACTGAAGGTAGCTTGGCACACTGATGTATATGTCCCTCTTGGCATTATGTAATAGATTATTATATATTTGTTCACATATAGTATAAATATAGTATGTATCTACGCACGTAAAAGACGTAAAAGTATGTAGATTTACGATCAGGTATAATGTATATGAGCTTGTGCATAATGTGATAATGTTCAAATGAACTATAAACTAGTATGTGCTCTTTCGTTTAACTTCATTTGTATCATATTTCACATCGTAAAATGACCATCATTGCGTGACAGTGACGGAGATGGCATAACAAACGAATATGTCCACACTCCTACAGGCAAACAATGCCCATCGGTCTTCAAATACTTAACATCTCATATTGTATATTGCATACTGTATAAGTAAGCCAGGGGTATATCCGACATTCATACCAAACAGTGCCAGCGCAGAACAAGGGGAGACACAGTTTAGCGCCAGTAAAGGTCAAAAAAGCATCATGAACACCGCCATCTTGGTCATCATCGCCATCGGTAAGTATAGGCACATTTCTGTATGAATTGTGTATGATATACTTTGTGTAATGAATCTCAGTCAAGGATCGATGTTCGTTTCACTTGGTGTGGAAACCTGCACGTACACGTAAGGAGTAGCTGTAGCAAAAACATGTTCGTGAACAGTCGTCTTTGTTGGCCCATTCTTCATCTTCAGGTGTTACCATCTTCATGTCTTCATTCTATGGGGGGCGGTCAGGTAGCCTAGTGGTTAAAGCGTTCGCTCGTCACGCCGAAGAACCGGGTTCGAATCCCGACATGGGTACAATGTGTGAAGCCCATTTCTGGTGTCCCCCGCCGTGATATTGCTGGAATATTGCTAAAAGCGGCGTAGAACCAAACTCACTCACTCACTCACTCATTCTATGGTCGGATTGTTTGAATGTGTTCCTTCAACTCCTTGTAAGTAGAAACATGTTTATTATCTACATCAGCTGAGCAATGGTCGAGCAGATATATCCTATTGCCTTGATTTCACTTAAGAGTTAAGAAATGACTTCACGCAGATATACTATGCCAAAAAAGTAGGGGATATTTTTGGGAAGGTGAAGCTTCAGGGAAATACACCAATGTCTGGCATGAAAATAAGTGATTTATGTGGCAAGAACATTTCCGAAAAAATCAAGCTCCCAAACTGAACATTGTGTTTCAAAACTGCACGTGCATCTGGCGGTATGCCCGATTTACAATAGTCAATCAGACTCGTCACCCATGACCGAAAGAATCGAGTTTGGAGACGTCCTAATGAGCGAGCTATGGACGTAAACGTCGAACAGCAGGATCGTTATGGGCGAGGGTCCATAATGGAATGGAGTGGTCACGATAACTGGCCGAACTGCACTCCTTATTGCCCATGAGTCACGTGTCAATACTATCGGGATAACATCACTGCACCACTCGTGGTGCCATTTGCATAACGTGTTGGGAAACGTTTCATCTTTCAAGATGATAATGCCAGGACTGCGACTCAATTCCTCTCACAACAAAACATCAATGTCATGCCATGCCCAGCACACAGTCCTGACGTTCCCCCATTGAACACATCTGGGATGGCATTGGCAGATGTGTACGTCAACGTCAAAATCTACGAACGAACTCGGTGCTGCTTTCACTTATGCGTGGAACAGCATGAGTCAAGCTGACACTCCTCGACAGTCGTGCATGTCTGGCCAACACATTTGGTCATACCCGATATGAGTTACGTTGGCGACAAAATGCACATCACATCAAGCATTAGATCCATTATATCTGATTGCCTACTCCCAATCAAATATGATCATATTTCCATTTGGCAATACCATATAGATCAGAAAATATGGCTTGATGATTGCCACTACCCCCTATTTGTTTGTCATAGTAATGTATTCTATAGTCTCAAGGCTTCCTAAGTTTAACTGAAGTGACACCGGGAAACTTAAGCTGAGAATTGATTAAAATGTTATCGAGATAGGCCACATATAGATATTTATCAGCATAGTAACAGAAACTGATATGTATTTAACAAACAGGAAACAAAATATCGTTGTGGTTTTATAAATTTGGGCAAGCGAATACTCAATGGTTAATGCTTAGAATATTTGTGTTGAAGGAGACGTTAGTTTCCTTTTAGTTTGTGCTGAATACACTATTGTCGGGAGAAAACCCCTTCCGGCAATAGCTGATACTGAGCAAATGTTGCATGTCCTTAGCCTTGTATATGGACCGGATTGTCGTTTATAGTGATCTAGAAAGGTGCAGTTCTGCTGTTTCTCATCCTTTGAAAATGAGTAAATCTCGACAACCGCGGAGTTTCCTGTGCAGGAGAACCAAAGGCGATATTTTCTTCCTTTTTGTTTTATCCCACGTGTCACATTCCATAATTGTTACCCAAATACTTTTCAGGCATCACATGTTCCTTTGCAAGTAACACAAGAGGTGAGCACATTTACTTTTCTGCTTATAATTATTTGTGCGTCAGGATATTTGTTCTCCTTGCATGTTTACATAATGAACTAGTAATATTTTGTCAGACCGTTCGTATCACAATTAAGAATTATTGAAATTCATTACTGTGGACTTAAGCTAATGATTGGTCCGTAGCTTTGTCTTTGTTTGTTTTTATCCGTCCTACTGATATATTTTAACGAGCTCTAATATGTTGTATCTCTGTTACAGATGTTCGATCAGCATCAACCTCAACCTCAACCTCAACCTCGACCTCGACCTCAACATCTTCAGAAGGTTCGTAGCTAAAAAGTTAATTTGACCACTTTTTACTAGTCCTGCAACGACACATGCATAGCATACACATGCATATATCAGGACGTGTCGGCATAATGTGGGAGGAAAGCCTGTACTGATGTAGGTCTCAGACGTTTACCACCTCGGTGAAACCCACGAACACGGGTATGGTGCTGACAAACCTAGAAAAATTATCGGGGCGGATCGTGATTCGAACCCACAATCATAGGTTTCTGGCGTGCCCAAGGGTCGCAAAACAGCACAGCGAATTGCGGCGCCTTAGACGACTGGGCCAACCCTGACCCCCCACCCCCATGACGGCCTGTAATAAATGAGTCGAGACCAGACATGCCACGGAACACAATGAGACGTCATTAGCAAAGTCACTGAATATGACCACTCAATTCATTTAGTCCAACATAGAATCCAAGGAACCGGTTCTACAACAAAATTCCTCAGTAAGTTTTACACTGTCATATATGTATTAAATATCTCAGTTCCAGATCGTAGATCAGCATCAACATCAACGTCAACAGAGTCAGAAGGTTCGTATTCAACAAAGTTAATTGGGCCAGTGTTTACTAGTCTTACAACGGCGCAGACGCAATCACCTTTGATCGTGGGTCTACAGTTGCCTAGCATTTACTTTGCTTTCATTGTGGAATAATGATGTTAATAACCATCTGCATAACGCACATGTGGATTCTAATCCAACTTCCAACATTGCTTGTATCGCAGTTAAGACAATGTATGGCCTTGAATACATGTGTTATTATATCATGGCTAGTCAAACACTCTTAATAATGCGTAGTTATAATGAATCTATCAAGAACGGGTTTCAGTACATCTCTTGAACTCTTGTTATACGGGAACAAATCTGACATAACACCGTTTAAAGGGTGACAGAATCAATATGGCTTACACACAGCTAACATTCTTCTCTAAAGCCATAGTCATGAATTAAGACATGGTATGGCCTTGAATACATGTGTTATTATATCATGGATAGTCAAACACTCTTAATAATGCGTGGTTATAATGAATCTATCAAGAGCGGGTTTCAGTACATCTCTTGAACTCTTGTTATACGGGAACACATCTGACAAAACACCGTTTAAAGGGTGACAAGGTCAATATGGCTTACACCCAGCTAACATTCTTCTCAAAAGCCACTGTCGTAAATAGTCCAGCAACATATATATCGTGACGTCCTCTTCAGAGCTGTGTGGAGACCAGACAAGCCAGTGCTTAACACGGAACATAATGAGATGGCATTAGCCAAGTCACCCAATTTAGTCCATATAATCCTGCAACAAAATTCCTCAAAAAAGTTTTATGTTATCATGCATGTATATATTAAATATGTTCATTCCAGGAGGTAGATCTGCATCAACATCAACCTCAACCTCTTCTTCTTCATCATCATCAGAAGGTAATTACCAATCAATCTTTACTTTTGTCAGTTAATAACTTATAACCCATCACCATCACCATCACCATCACCATCACCATCACCATCATATTTGATGTGGAGACGTTGGGTACGATTTGTTTCAAAGCAAGCTGGAATGATATTATATACTCACAGCCCAAAGAAACGTGAATACTATACATGTTGGTTAAGATATGAAGACTTACTCTTTTCAAGAGATATTAGATTGCTTCGATACACAAACAACCATACTGGTATGGTATGTGAACTGATGCTGATGAAGGCATCACGTGTGACATCAAAGATCCATGACTCGAGATGCACCATTTGTCTTGTGCAGGATTGGCGTGTAAAGTTTGGAAAACACGTGCACCATATCGTGATAAGAATAAAGTCACCTTGTGGTAACACTTGACTGATTGTTAGTTTTGTCATTAATTGGTACAGATTTGAAACATCTCTTCTTAACGTACATACTTCTGTGTATGTTTCTATGGTTCGCGTTTCTTTTGGCGGTGAGTATATATCATATCACATTTTAACGTTACATTAACGCAGACCGAATGAAGTTACTGTTAAAATCTTTCAATGTACCCTCGTTCGTTTGTATTTTGTTTTATGATGAATCAGTTCATGTTGTTATTTTTTCAGCCCAACCATGCGTAGCAGGTAAGATTCCCTTTCATCAAAAAGCACTTTGTTATTTTCAAAGCACCCCCTGGTGGAGGATTAAAAGTCCCAAGACTTGCAGACAATAAATGATTGCTTTTGTACATTGTGTGACAAATGCCAAAATTAACGGGAAAGAGTACGGTAGATGTTGGTGACGGTATCATAAATGTTACGGGGGTGAGAAAATGTTTGATCCCAGCTGTTATCCAAAGTCTGGCTGCCCTGTAGTTATGAATTGTTCCAACTGACAATAAATAACATAATCATTAAACGTAAGCACCACTACATAGATTGTTTGATCAAAGAACCTGGTATAAATGATATATCAAATAATGCCACACATTAGGCCAGTATGAGGAAGAAATCTGCCACAACCATAAATCAGTACAGTCAACTTTTGACTTGACTCTAAAACCTAAAGACATGTCCATTCCTCTTTTTGTACTGTATCACAAAGCTCTATAAAAATCCGTACAAAGAGAGATGAATTGCTGGGTCGAGGAAATGTACTACCAAATCCCTGTCTAAAAGACTGACCATAATCCTTAATGCAACCATTTCGTATCAGACTAAAAGATCTATTTAATGAGATTGGGATGATATCCCTCCAGTCAGGTGACGCTGTGTAACTTTGGATATATTGCCTTCCCAAAACTTTCACACCCCCAGCAGGCTGCCACATACAGCTGACTTCCATTAACGATTTGGAAACAGAAACAAGGAATATCAATAATTATCAACTAGTTCAGGTGAATTTAATGTAGCGTTTCTATTGAATCCCTACATTAAAGATATAATTTTAAAGCGTTTTACATTAAATAGAGCGATTTTAGGTTAACGCCACTACAGTAAACTACGGATATAACGAACTCAAAGGGACTACTATTTTTAGTTCGTTATAACCGTAGTTCGTTATAAGCATATATGCAGCATAACTACAGCAAATAGTCGGGACTAAAAAGTTAGTTCGTTATATCCGTCAGTTCGTTATAAGCGTGTTCGTTATAACCGTAGTTTACTGTATTAGTGAATTGGATTTTAATATCAGAAAAGTATTACTTCCCTGATCATAACCTAGACTGATCAGTTTCTATGTAATGATATTAAAATTGAAACGTCTAACATAACCTAGAACTTTGAAACAAAAATACTGAACAAACAAAATCCTTGCATTCAGAACAATGAACATATACCGAATTTTCAAGCAAATATTCGTAAACTAACGTGTAACGAACTTGTTCTTCATGCGATAACGGCGATAAACTAGAATATGAATATGTGCCCATCCACATACAGTAAACTACGGTAATAACGAACTCAAAGGGGCCACTAATTTTAGTTCGTTATAACTGTAGTTAGTTATAAGCATATTATAGCATATATACAACAGTGTCCGAGCCAAAAAATATAAGTTCGTAATATCCGATAGTTCGTTATAAGCGAGTTCGTTATAAACGTATTCAATGAATATCACTGAACTTTTCTCTCTTCAATATTAAGCTGCCTGTGTCGGTGTTGCTGTCGAAGACAATGGTGTTCTGGTCGATCCTCCAGCTATCGGTGAGTGCAGATATTACAAAACTCGCAGGGTTTTAATGTAACGTAATCATCGAGATGGAAAAAGTCAAGTAGACGCACACCCAAGCACACACACAAGCACGGACGCACGCACGCACGCACGCACGCATGCACGCACGCACGCACGCACGCAAGCACTCGCAAATACAATGGCATCAAACCATGTTTGACGGATTGATCAGGGGGGACGTCGCTCTGATTATGATGCTTCCTACCCATTCACCATATGTGTAAAGGTCGGAGACCTCCGTCACTTTGGCCTTTCTCCAGGATCAAGGTGCCACGATGAGGCTCACTCACTCATTCACTGACCTGTATGATAATATAAATGCAATTTTGTTCCCGTGTTTATTCCTTTACACCGTTTATACATTACAATACACTTACTTTCAGATCGCTCAGCGTCATGTTTGATTCATTTTGTTGTTTTAGGTGCTGGCCATGGAGAGCCTGCTCAGTAGCTATTCTGAATGCTGGAGTGTGGTCCTCGTGAACAAGCTGGGCACACTGTGGTTGTGTGAACAATGACACGCCATGTGTATCACGTAGAACACAGGCCTTAGATTTGACGGAATGTCATGTGTTCCACAGTTGAGCTCTCTAGTTGGGCAAAATTGAAAATTCATCAGAATCAGTAATGTCATGGATATAGGTGTATCTTTGAATTTCAAATCATTGTCATGACACCGATGTAATTTTCTGTACTAACATATCGTATATAGTAGAAACATTTGTTTATTAGAATATAAAAGAAACTGGACAAATACAAACGCAAACGCAAACGCCATCTGTACTGTATTGTGAGAGTGTATCATGTTTATTTCAATAAAGAGTCCGTTTGATATATATCTAGTATTTGTTCTATATTTAGGTAACCAGAATCCATGAATAGGGCAGTTCTTTATATTATTTTACCAAAACTGTCCTTGCCAAGAGTCTATCCGATCCTCAACTGTTTGAAGCTGGCTGTTTGTGTGTCTATCCCCTGGCTTACCTACCCATGATGGTCGTTTCAAGCCTACCTTGACTGCCTTCGTTGTCTAGAGGAGAGAGAGTTTGCTCAAAGAGTGGAAAGTCGGTGGTTCAATCCCGGTTCTCGCCATACAAACATACGTTAAAAGAAGGTATTTGTTATACTGCATGGCGCTCGGCATTAAGGGGATTAAACAAGGACTGGTCGGCTCGGTGTCGGTGTACAGTTTCTGAGCTAAGGTATCTAAGGAATCCTAGAAGGGACATTGTCGCGTTGTCGCATTGTCGCCCTAACAAAAACAAGCAAACGGTGTCCAAAGCAACCAAATCGTGACAACGCGACAAT